TGAGGAGGCGGCCAAGTGGCTGGACACGTATTATGACCGGTTCTTGCAGGTGCCTGCTGCTGCTGCGTCATAATTTTGGGGTGAGGGCATATTATCAGGGAGAGAGAGAGGAGGCTGCCGCAAGGCCGGATGGATGTTGTCCTGCATTGATAGGGGGGGGTGGCGTGCGGTGTTGGTTGGTTGATCGTTAAAGATGACGATTTTACACGAGAGAGAGGTTGGAACCTGTGTTCTTTGACTAAAAAGGCGTATGGGGAGTTTTTGCTTTTCGTTCCCGCCGTGTTTTTTGAAGAATAGGGGGCGAAGCAGGCGTTTTGTTTTTGTTTTGATCATCATTGTCATCATCACGCGCACACACAAAACGAAGGGTGGATGGGGAATTGTGAGATGGATACTTTTCTTTTTTTTCTTTCGAGAAACATGTTCATTTATTCTTTTTACCTTTATTGATACCATTGTACAATATGAGATAAAGCTTGTTGCATTGGGATTTTAATTGCGGCTGTTTGTGTTTGCTCTTTGCAAGTCGTGCTGAACCCCTGAACAGCCCCTGAACAGCCCCTGAATGCTGGCAAAGCCCAACAACAGCCGATCGATTTCAAAGCCACCTAGGCTTTATCCACACACAAGTCATGTTATGATGATAATAGAACCAAAGAATCAGCTCATCCCAAACTTGCCAATGCAGAACCTATCACTCACCTAGAACCTCAACACCGTTATCAACCCTTGCTCATCCTCCCCAACAACCCACCTCTCATCCCCACTGATATGCCCCTTTGCAAGCAACTCCCCCCACATATTGACCTCTTCCCCCGTATCCCCCCTCGTAACCCCAAACTCCTTCACCCTCGTCCTCCTCACAATCTCCTCCCTGTCCACCTTCCCTTTCCCCTCCTCCAACCCCTCGCCTCCAACCGTCAACCTCGGCCTGACATGCACACTCAACGTCTCCAGCATAAAACAATGCCTCGCGCTCACCCTAACCCCAGCCTCCCCATCGACCATCTCAGAAACAGTCAAATAAGGAAAATCCTCATGCCTCCAGCACGGCGCCAAATGCTTTGCTACCCCGCCCCACTCCGACGTTTCCTCCTTCTTCTCCCGGGGCCGTAATTGTTCAATCAAACCCCTCCCCCTCGCCGCGTTCAAACCCCCAATGCTAGGCGGCGGCCACACGCTCACCGAACTTGCGGGAGCCACCCTTCGACAAAAATTCATGTTCACATCCCCATCCGCCCCACAACTATCAAGAAACACCGGGCCTTGCACCACATGACCCTGACCCTGGGAAGAGTCGTCCTGATCATCAAAAGGAATAATCGGTATACCAGTCGACCGAACAAGGTGCACCCTCGGAGGAGAAAGACTAGAGTGCTGCCCATCCGCCCACCTGTGCTCCTCCTCGATGAAATACAGATTCTTCCCATCCAGCGACAAGTTCCTCAGCTGGGGCGTGGCTCGTTGTCGCAGGCCGTAAAAGTCTAGTTGGGGCCAGGCTATACGCCTGATAACAAACGGGCCGGGGGCGGTGGTGGTTTGTGAGGCCGAAAGCCGGCGGCGGGGTTGTTCCATGTCTGAGGAGGAGGCGGCGTCGTTTGACACGTCTGACTGCGGGGGGCTGCGTGTGGTGGCGGTAGAAGAAGATGATTTACCGCTCCATAGACCCGTCGGGAGAGAAGGTGTCCGTTCCACGCTGGGACGTTTCCTCCCTTTTGGGTCTTCTGATGGTCGGTAGGGAGATGGGGAAGAAATGTCCCACACTGCTAGCTGTTCTATCGGGTCGTCTTGATAAAGCGAGCGGTTTGGTTGCCAAAAGTAGACCGCGTAGTGGGTTGCTGTGTGAGCTGAGTAGAAGCGGTCGGAGCGGTTGAGGGGGAGGCCGAGGAAGTGGAGTTTGAACTCTGAGCGGAAGGTTATGGACCAGGTGCAGTGGGTGGTGGTGGTGGATGGATGACGGAGAACGTCAAAGATGGAGACATAATGCCTGTGGACTACCTCGCGGTCGTTGAGTTGATGGTAGGGTAGGACTTCGGCCCATTCAAAGACCAAAACTCCCTGGGCTAGTCTTACTCGACGGATGTGCTTTTGTCTAACGTCGAACGGGACGGGGAATTCTAGTTTGGTGGATAGGTCAACTATGTGGTAGATGTGCCCTGTTGTTTCAAGCGGTGGTGAGTCCCCTTCTGGCCGGGTGGCAGGGTAGACCAGCACGCCGTCCTCCTGACTGTACCACCATGATGGGTCGGGGTAGTGGAAGCTGGCTGTCTTTTCGTGTAGACGGAGATAGCGGTTCCAGGGGGCCACACCCCAAAAGGAGAAGAGGTTGTTTTGGGAGGGTGCCATGTCTAGCTTTTCCACCACTCGGGCCGTGGCCCGGTTGAGGTGGTGGTACCGTCGAGCGACATGGGCAAAGGTGGACGACCAAACGCGGCGTACTTGGGCAAACCGGACCAATTCAGCCTTGAGGTTGGGAGGGAGGTTGTCTGCTGATTTCTGAGGGGCGGGTGAGGATAGGAGCGCCGCCAGACGCATCTCACGACATCGTGGGAAATTCCACCGTAGGAGCAGGAGGCAGTTGGCCTCGTCGGTAAAGGCGTGGTGCCATCGGCGGGAAACGGAGCGACATCGCACGCAGGTTCGCGGTGAGAGGTGAGATATGACAATGAGAAAGAGGTCATGCGGCAGTTCGGTGATGTCCCTCATGTTGCTGGTATCTGAGCCAGAAGCAGACTGTGGTGAGCACTTCATGATATTGCTGCCGGGTAGGAAACTGCCATGTTTATGAGAGATGGACGCCGACAAGCCGGCGTACAATGTTTCACAAGCGGTCCCATCGGATCTTGGCGTGCCGGCGAGATAAAGAAGGGCTTCCTGTCTTGGTGCTTGTGATTCTGCTGGGCAAATGCATCCTTCGGGCCTTCCACTCGTCACCGAACTGTCATCTGAGCAGCTTGCAGGAAACAAAAAACATGCGCTAGGCAGGTGATCGTGTCACTGTTTTCTCTATGACTCGTCGACGTCTAACAGCGATGCATTCCCCATGAAACCCATCATAAAATGTGAGAATGCTGCCAAGCAGTTTCAGGGACCTGCAACAGGGCTGGAGAGTGCGGGGAGAGCCCTACAGGCCAACGGCAGTGGGCCCTGACCCCCGCCAGTGGCATCGGAGATGAGAGTCCATGACACCCTATCCACTCGTCAAATTGGAAAATAACAAGACATGGGTTCGGACCACCCTCTGCCACCTCCACCATGCAAGCAACCGAGCATGGGCGGGCGCAAAGATCACAAGGTGGTCTGAACCGATGTCTTGTGATTTTCCAATTTGACGAGTTAGATGGGGTATGACGAGAGAATGTCTGTTTGGTTAGCTCTATCAACATACTACATAGAATAGCTTCCAAATCTTCCTGATATGCCCGTACTCGTACTGTAGACGTTCCACCTCATACACGTCATCTGTGAGCTCTTGTGCGCGCACCACCATCTCACGAGTTGTTCTTTCCCCAGGTTGGCCAAGTTCTAGCTTAGTCGGGTGTGGGCGGGGAAAGTTGCACCAAAGACAGTCCGGTCTTTTCACCTCTCCCAAGTAGACAGGTGCTACCAGGTTGCATCCCGCGTACTTGGACTTTTTATTAAAAATCTCCATTTTCTGCTAGATTTTGACCACACAGAGAAACCCCGCCTGAAGCCCAGCCCTGTCCCGCGATGTTGAAGATCGATCTGACATGCGTTGCCAAGGTGCCTGCCAAGAACATCACGGCTCGGGGCCTGCCCTGCTCTTGTCTGCCTCTTGTGAACCCGGATCTTGCATCTGTCATGTTTGCTTCTCACGAGGTCGGAGATACAAGACATAAGACCGAGGCCAGATCCTTGGCCCCAGGGTCCTCGTATGCCCTTACACCGTACTCAGCTCGCTAAGCGTATGGATTCAGAGATTTCAGGCAAGAAGTCATTTCAACGAATAGCAGGCGGGCTGTGTGCAACACCATGGGAAATATGCTACCGAACGGGTAGTTTGGCGACACACGCTGCATATTATTGCTAATACGTACCATCCCATCCGGCAATGCCTGATCCGTTCTTTGTGCTTCGACCAACAAGGATCTCGAAGGATGAGCGAAAAAAACTCGTTCGGGGAGCGGTGGGAGACAAAACTGCCAGGACGGAACGTAATCAAGCCATGCTGTCTTCACCAGACTTTTGATCGACTGGCGCAACGGTTTGTTCTAGTATAGTTTCGCACCGTTGGTGGGCCGATAATAGCACGTTAAAAATCAAGACTTGAACGGCTGAAACGGTCAGGGTCGAGTGTTAACAAAAAATTGCATCTCATGAAGAGGTTTGAGAGCACCATTCGCGGGGCACCGTATTCAGAGTCCAATCCCAGATGCTGCGTGAGGCGCATTGGCTCGAGTCAAGCTTTTCCAGGCCGCCCTCGGCAACCCCAGCGGCGGGTTCCGCAAGGCCAACCCCGCTGTGCCCAGGCCTGCCATAGCAGTCATCTCAGTCTTATTCGTGGTCTCGCCGCCCTCTGGCTTCCCACGACTCCTGTTCTCTTGGCAAGCCAAGCAGCCAGCCAGACAGCCTTGGCATATGCAACCCGAAGTTCATCAACCACGAACTCTTGGCCTTTTGGATTCGAAGACAGCCCCTCGACGTGAAAGATCAACTTCAAGGACAAGGAGAAGGAGGACAGCCCCGAGTGCATCATCGCCGCGAGCCGACGTGCGGCCGCATGGGACGACGACACGCCGACACCACACCCCCCCCCCCCCCGAACCTCCTCTGGCACGCTTTCTCGCGACCTGACCCGGTCGCCCATCGCCCATCGCCCATCGCCCATCGCCCATCGCCCATCGCTCATCGCCCATCGCCCGTCCCGTACTGTTTCGGCCGACAGCATACCTGGTCCTGTCCGTCTCGACAACCTCTACCCCGTCGCACGCAATTGCCCCGTGCTGGATGCTCAGCAGTCACAGCACAGCAAAGCATAGATGGGCTATTCCAAGTCCGCCGACAACCGCGCCGCCGCCTCTGCCCTGGTGTCCGCGCAAGCCTCGACATCGGTTGACGACACATCTTCATCGCGCCGGTCCTTCTTTTCCCGCCTCAGCCTCCCCCTCCGCCAACGCGCCCGTCACATCACCGATTTCCACATCCGCCCGGCCGAGCCCTACCGCAAGTATGGCGCTGGAGACCATGTGTTGGGCGCCGTGATCTTGACCGTCGTCAAGCCCGTCCGAATCACCCATTTGACCGTGGCATTGCACGGCTTCGTACGCGTATACAAGGGCCCAGGTGCGCCCGCCAACGAGCCGATTGTCAATCCCGCCGAGATTCCAACAAACACTGGCCGCGGCGCGCGCCAGAAGAGCCACAGTGTTGGGCGCGTCAATTTGTTTGAGGACGAGCAAACACTCAGCGCCGATGGCCGGCTCGAGCCGGGCCGCTACGAATTCAACTTTGAACTGTTATTTCCCTCAAAGGGGCTTCCTAGCAGTATCGATGTACGTGTGCAATTTCCATCAAGGGCGAGCTATTGGCTGATATCTACATAGTTTGAGCGTGGCACTATTTCCTACAGGATCACTGCGACTTTGACACGTCCGCCATCCATCACTACCAAAATAGACCAGAGGTCGGCTGTTGAGTGCCCAATTCATCTCATCGAAAGGGTCGATATTGGTCCTCTTAAACCGCCACCGTCGCGTACTATCTACCTAGAACCAATATCAAAACGGCCACGGAAGAAGAAGCAACCTGGGCCCACATTAGAAAAGGCCGCCACCACCGTTTCACACGATCCACCAGAACGGTCATCCGATTTGGACTCGACTCGGGCAAATGAGAACTCTACCGAGGGCTCCTTGTCCGTCCTTGGCGATGATCAAGGGCATGGCCCACCAGCTAACGATGGCCCGGGACCGTTACAAAGCGACGTCCGCAGCATCAGCGGTGATAGCGCCCACACCAGCAGTACCACCCCGAGCAGGAACGGCGACATAATGTATACAACACCGTCGGTCATATCGCAGGGTGGAAAGAAGGGACCGGCACTGAAGGACCGGACCATCACAGCGACAGTAGAGTTGCTAAAAGGTGGCTGCCTTCCTGGAGATGTGGTTCCCATCAAGATCTCGGTGCAGCACATCCGCCAACTAAAAAGCATGCACGGTGTGATAGTCACTCTCTACAGGCTCGGTCGCATAGACTCAGCTCCCACAGGTGTACTTTCTAGGGAACTATCGCAAAGCCAAAGCCGCTCTGAGAAGGAAGAGATTTACCCCAAGTCGAAAACTGGGCTGGGAGGTCTATCCCTTTCGTCGGCCGGCTCTTGCAGTGTCTTCCGGAAAGACCTTTCCCAGGCTATCAACCCTCTCTGGATTGACCCAGCCACCATGAGCGCCAGCTTCACAACTCTGATCAGGGTTCCCGAGGACGTATTTCCAACCATCAAGGGCGTTCCTTATGAGATGATCAAATTTCAATATCACATCGAGGTATTGGTCGATCTAGGAGGGAAGCTTGCCGGCCAGATTCAAGGCAACAAGGTAGCTTCTGGGTTGCGAATGAGCATTCCTGGGGTCCCTCTGGGCCCGACATCCAGTGCCCACGACACCGGCTCACCTTCCGTCGCAACATGGGGATCCAGCATTATCGACACGGATAGGCTCCGTCGAGAAAAGGGCGTCATCTCCGTGTTGTTTGAGGTTATTGTTGGGACGACAGACAGTGAAAGGCTCAAGGCCAAAGGTCTGTCGAAACTGCCGTCGCCGGTCCGAACTGTGTCAGTGCGCGAAAGTGATTATCACAATCAGGCCCCGGACCATGTTCACCCGTGGCCTGCATCACATGAGCCAGGAGGCTACGGACCAGAATCGGCCTGCCCGCAGGATTACCCCCCGTTTCCTACGCCATATCCTGCCCAATCCACCCAGCAGATTCCCTACTGGGAGACGGTCCCGGCCCAACCGCCACCACCGCCGCCAGTTCCGCATTACATACCACCCCCAGACGTCCCTGACGAGAGCTCGCTCGACGAGAAGGAACGGATCAGACGCGCCGAGCAGAGGTTACTTCCCAGCCAACCGCCAGACGCACCCGTTGCCGCCGGCCCGTCTAACTCTAGCGACGTGGTCAACGGGGAAAACATCTACGACGCTGACGACACGCCCTCGGCACCTCCTGATCTTGCCCTCCCTGCCGAGTCGCCACCAGAAGAACCACCGTCGGCGCCCACACTGGAAGAGCTCTCGGGTGGTGCGGTGATGAACTCGACAGAGGATAAACAAGAGCTTGAGCGGCGACGGTTGCTTGCCGAGGCGAGCGCGCCGCCGGAGTTCCCGGAGGATTACGATGATAACGCCATGGCGGGGCCTAGTGGTTCGTCAATACCGCCGAGTGCACCACCGATAGTGCCTGCTGCGGTGGCGGACTTTGAGCCGACGGCGCCGGTGATTAATGATGAGGAGGAGGATTATGGGAGGCATTTTTCTTATGCAGGGGCTTCGCCGGGGGCGGGGAGAGGGCCGGTGGATGCGGTGGGGGAGGAACTGCCGAGGTATGAGAGGTGACAGAGCCATTTAATGCTCTAGGGTGAAGCATTCGTTTATTTTTCTTGTGGGCGGGTCACAGCCAGCGGACTTATTTTTGGGTTTTGATGGTTTTGGAGTCATTTACGGACAATCGTTTTCATGGCAACTTTTTCTGATTTCTGGACACTTCATTAGGAGGGGGGGTGAGGGGGTCTATCTTTCATTATTGTCATTATTTTTCCAAAGGAATAATGAAGTTGATGTTGTTCCTAGTTTTTTTTTTTTAACTACCAATCATGCCCCACCCATGAGTAAGATTTATAGTGATGTCTTTTTTTGGGGTTTTTTTTTTAATATGTTGGTCTGGGAAGGGTAGAGGAGAAGTTGTTGAGAATGGAGGTTGACATGTGGAAGAAGAAGGGAAGTTGAGGAGGGTTGAAGAGAAGAGGGTGGGGGGGGGGTTGGTTGTGGAAATTTTTTGAATTTTTGTTGAAACGGGAATTTGTATTATTGTATAAGTGTAATAAGAGTAGGGATATGTTTTGGGACTTTGTGCTGGAGTAGTCGGACTAGGAGTAGGGGTAGTATATAACTCTTTTTTCTCTCTCTCTTATGGTCTATTGATCACTTTTATGTTGCCTACCGTAAGCTTTCACGGTGGGTCCGCTTTCCAGGCAAAGGGGGGGGGGGGGGGAGGAAGGGATTACGTAGGTACCCTCGAAGCTTCATCTTGTAATAGCGTGACTAGGTAAGCAACGGGATCTCCAATCCTTAACCTATCACGCCAACTACACCCAGGAGGCCGTCAAAGATTGTCTTCACCAACTCGACTTCGAAAGATGCTCACCGTGTCCCAATTCGGAGTCAAGCAATGCTGGCACTTGGACATTGTTTACATTCAGCGTGGCAGGTTATGAAGATGTCGACATGAAAAAGCAGACATATCACCCCAGTGTGATGGGGGAAAACACACAAGAAGGGTTGGTAATTGCAAACAACCATGCTGAATATTAGCGAACGTATTCCACCAACCTAGCCCAAGCAGCTACATCTCGATAAAACCTTCCTATTTGACAATGCGACATCATAAACTCATAGATAGCAGACCCCCATCTCTCCAATATTAACCAATGGTATCAAAACCATAATAATAACCCTCATAAAAATCCTTGTAGATTTTTCCCATATTCCCCTCATTTTTACCATTTAAACCATCAACAAAGCGAGCGAAAAAGTGGTATCATCCAAGCCCCAAACAAAATCCCAAAGCAAACAAAACAGAAACAATCAATCCCCCCCGCCGTCTCACACTCCTAATCTCTGCACCAGGCAGCGAACCAACCCCTTTTATATCCAAGAAAAAGAGAAAGAAAAAACTCAACCCATCGACCCCCTTCCCCCCCAATTCCTCGATCCAGACCCAGAACAACCAACTGGACTCCCCTCTACCTCCACCGCCCCCTCAACAGGCACCTCACTCCCCTGAACCTCAGCAATCGGCGGCGGTGACGACGACGAGCCTGATTTTCTGTACTCCTTTGCCTTACCCTTGGCAAGAACAGCACTACTACTCCCCGTGCTCCCAGGCGGCGTCCCCACCAGCGTCGTGAACCCCGTGCTCCCAGGCGGCGTCCCCACCAGCGTCGTGAACCCCGAGCTGTTCCTCCTGTGCTGCTGCTGCTGGTCCTGCGGCGGAGATTGATACGCTGGCGTCAGAGCAGGTGGCTGGGAGTGGTGATGAGCCGGTGCTGCTGGGGCAAAGTGAGGTAATATCTTCGGTAGAGTCGGTTCCGCTGTGACGGTTGTCGTGGGAATCGTCTTTTGGTAGTCATGCTCGGGATCATTGGGGTCAAAGGGGAAGAGGGCCGAAGCTGGGCGTTGGGTTTGGTAGCGGCGGCGGCGGATGAAAAAGATGACTAGACCCGCAAGAACGAGGGCTAGGACGCTGGTGCCGGCTGCGATGCCTGCTATTGTTGTTGTGGGGAGGGACTGAGAGGGTGCTGGGGTGGAGGTGGTGGTTGGTGATGAAGATGTGGATGGTGTAGAAGAAACATCGGTAGAAGTTATAAGGGGTGGGAGGATTAGACTGGCGGTTGTGGTTATTGTTTGGACTACCGGGGGCCTGGAGGTTATGGTAAGGGTGGAGGTCTCGACAACGGTTGCGAGGGCGTGGAGGACTCTAGTCAAAAATTAGCATCCGAGCAGCAGATCGCCCGAGGTGGTTGATTCCATACCGAGTGTTTGTTTGAAAGACTGTCGTCACGAAGGTTGACGTTGTCTGAGCCATGACAGTCGTCGAGGTCGTGCTAACGACGTCGGCGATTTCTGTGACAAACTTGGTGATGGTGCTCGTTGAAGGATTTTGTCTCGGTATAAGTCCGCCAACGCCTCCTCGCCGTTTGTTTCTACTGCCTGAAGAGTTTTTCTCAAGCACCAGAGAGATGAAGAGCCTGGTGATGGACGGAACCTTGAACGGATGGTTGTTTCTGTTAGAATGCGGCACTTCCAGCAGCACAGCAGATCGTTTGGCTGGAGGAGCAGTGACGGTCACAGTCTTCCAGACGATGTTGGTCTGGGTGTCAGCGCTCGAGACAGTCACATCAACTGTCGATACAACGGTGGAAGACTCGATCTTGACCACAAGGATGGTAGCTCGCTGTGTTGCGATTCGGGTGGTGGTTTCGAAGATAGTCTTGGTAATCGTCACCGTCTCCCTACTCAAAAGGTTAGCTCTATGTTCTGGTTGTGAATGGCATTATGACTTACACGGACGAGACGCAACCCCCCTTGGGAGAACATATCTGGCCAGCCAAACAGCATCCCGATCCACAACATGGTCGTCCAGCGGCACAACAGTACTTTCGATCACCGTCACGACAGCAATTCCCACAACCGGAACATGAATCGACATTATTGTCGAAGCAAAAGTTTGTCCCATTCGCGAGGCAGTCCCGTCTTCCAACGCCGAAGATATGCTCCGTAAGACCGAGTAAAGCGGGTGTACCGGGGACGGGATCGCTCCGTATTGCCATGTACCGGGTCAGATCGGCCTCGGAATCATCATCTGCCGCAATGAAGCATAAGGCTTGACTGACGGCAAGTGCCAAGAATAGAATTGTGATGAGAGCAGGCAGCCGGCCTAAGACGGACGACATGGCGATAGCATACCATGATGCGATTCCCAGATCAAAAGGGACGAGAGATGGGAAGGCCCAGAGGTCATGAGTTTGCTCATTAGTCTAGCCGGATGCCGTGTTGCTCGAGGATAGGCTCCGGGTTGTACACAGCGAACTACCTTAGCCTGGTGGACACCGCGTCAGAAGACAACAAATCGACGCCTGAGACATTGTGGTTTTGTGGCTGCTGCTGCCATTCCCACACCGACTTCACCCACCAAGCTATGGTCAGCAGCAAGTGGCCACAGCCTGGCTGACCCAGCCCATCCAAGTGGGGGAGTAAACATAGCTACACACTTTGGTATACGGGATCTCGATGCTCAGCAAGTAGCTGTGGTACCAAGTGCTGCAGGCCGAGGACTGCCAAGGCCTGACTCGACTGGTCTGGCAGAGATAAAGACGCAAGTCCGTCTCGCCGGATGCATCTGGCTGAAGTTGGCCGGGTTGGTTACTGGTTGGAGTATCGGCGCGTCTGCGTTATAAGGCTGTGCGACTGATTTGGACCTCTCACACAAGGGCATTGTTCATCCTTCTCCGACCTCTGCAGCTGAAGCTCGATCGGTGGCTTTGTGGAGGTGTGGAAGCAGCCATGTTTTCGGAGAGCGCGGAGAAGGCGGGCTTGGACAAATTGCTTCTAGAATTTGGGATTATCGTATGATCTCACTCATGACAGTGCTGTATCTTCAACAAGTTGACGACAATCAGATTGTTGCTGAATGCTGATAGAGTGCCCGGCTATGTGCCAGGGACGAGCGGGATGAGCCGTCGTCGGATGGAGCTTGGCCCCATCCCGATCGCCCAGTGGGCCCACCTACTCTTTGGAGCGGGTGGGGTGCCCCGCGCTAACCCCTCCGACACCAAGAACTTGGAAAAAGGGTGCCAGACATGAAAGTCAACCAAGGGCCTGGAAGCTGCATTGCGAAGCACCTGCTGCTGCTGACGAACTCCCCTGACCGAATTCCCTCCCTGTATCTGTAACACCTCCGACCATGGACATCGACGACATCCTCAGGGAAGTCGACCCGACCTTCCATGCCGTGCCACAAGAAAAGCGTAATCTTCAAGAGTTAACGCGTGCCTGGATTGCCGAGCGATCAGCGCCCGAGCTTCTCCCGTATGCAAACAACATCTTCCAACAAAGTAACAGTCGCCGAACTGTCCGTTGCTAACCTGGCGGTTTTTTTTGACACCTGCAGCTGGCCGGCAGATGGCCTCTTCGAACGCGTCAATGATAGTATCAAGCGCCAGATCGAAAAGGTCGAGGAGATGACCGGCGACATGGACCCCAAGACCAACTTTGCTCTCATCGTCATACAAACCGAACTGGAGCGCTTCAAGTACCTCGTTCGAAGCTACCTCCGCGCTCGAATTTCAAAGATAGACAGACACACTCTACACTACCTCTCGACCGACGCGCTGAGAGCCCGACTTTCCGAAATGGAGCTAGCCTATGCGACCCGTCACCAGGCTCTTCTTCACAACCACTACCTCTCGTCGTTCCTCTCTTCCTTTCCTTCAGCCTTGCAAAACCTCAACGACTCGGCGGGTATCAACATGGTGGAAACTCCAGATCTTGAGTCGGCCGTGTTCATCAGGCTGCTAAAGGACACTTTGGTCGAAGGGCGCGGTGTTGACTCGGACGGTGCCATGGACGGGCGAGAAAGCGATATCGTCATTTTGCGATGGGCCGATGCAAAGACCCTGGTAGAAAATGGAAGCGCAGAACTGGTGTGATTTTGGAAACGCTCAAGAGGGGGCAGCATCGCGTGAACGCATGTGCTGTGCGGTGGTGATCTTGCGATATTTCAACCGCAACCAGGACTCGGCTCTGTGTGACGGACATAAGGACGCCGGCCTTTGCTCCGTTCCGGACACCGTCACGGTGAGGCGGCAGTTGGGCTGTTTCCAACATAAGGAAACTGCCGGAGGCTCAGACCAATAAAGGGGGTGAATTGGCGGACGAGAGCTTATCTCCGGAGCTCCCCATACCCAACACGTATCCGGACTTAAGGTTCATGATAAAACCATGATGCGCAGACAAGCTCGACGACTATATTTATCGCCACCTTACTATCACCCACACCACTGATTCGACAGACCGAGTCGACACACTCACCTCACTCACCATCCGGAGCTCATGACCGCAACCATGGCCTCACCAAACACCACCATCGTCCTCATCACGGGCGCCAACCAAGGCATCGGCTTCGAAATCGCCAAAAAGCTCGCCACCGAACACAAAGACTACCACATCATCATGACCGGCCGCCGCAAGCAACCGCTCGAAGAAGCAGTCAGCTCCCTCAAATCTCGAGGCCTATCCGTCGAACCCCTCATCCTAGACGTAACCTCGGACGCCTCCATCGCCGCAGCAGTATCCCACGTCTCATCCACCCACGGCCGCCTCGACGTGTTGATCAACAACGCTGGTATATCCGAACACGCCTTCGACAACATCCCCGACATCTCCCCCCGTCAAAAATGGGCAATAATCCTAGACACAAACGTCACCTCGGTAGCCATGGTCACGGACGCGTTTATACCCCTGATGGAGAAGTCCGCCAAGGTGAGAAGGATAGTGATGATGGGGTCGGTGATGGGGAGCTTGACGTGCAGGGCGGACAAGGGGCACCATTGCCATGTGGATACTTATACTGCTTACTGTGCCAGTAAGACGGCGTTGAACATGCTCAGTTTGCATTATGTGATTAGGTTTGAGAAGGCTGAGGGGGAGGATGAGGATGGGAAGGGGTGGAAGGTGAACGTTTGTTGTCCGGGGTATTGCAGTACGAATTTGAATAAGTTTCAGGGGCTTAAGAGTGTGGAGGAGGGGGCGGTAAATGCTGTCAGGTTGGCTACGATGGGAGGGGAAGGGGAGACGGGGAGTTACTCGGCTAAGGAGGGGCGTATACCATGGTGATAAGGGTGGCATGGGGGATTGGGTGGGATGGAATTGATGTCCATTCCGGTGTTTATATTGTTGCAGATTAATCTTCTGATATATCAAGCCAACATTTCGTCCAGCACTTGTTTTCTGCAATATGTAACTCTACACACGCAAGATTGGTATAAAGTGAAGTGGATGTCCCCTTTACAGTTTAATGACCCGTCGTCGTCGGTGGAGCCTCGTCCACAAGGCTACGATACGCGATCTCGATTTCCTCTCAGGGGCCAGGGGTCTGAGGGTTAATTAGCCTTGTCAAACCCACCTAATGACGTGACTCGGGGTTGTGGGGTTTGGTGGTGGGTATTTGTTGATTCGATTGAGAAGATTTAAAGTGTTTTCTTGAGAGGTTGGAGAATTGTATGGGGTTGCTGGCAGTTGGCATTACACTATGCATGTATGCAAAAGCTGGGACCTACATGCATATCCGCTGCTTTTGTGCATGAACAATAAGCGGAGGGGGGTTGGTTGGGTGGGTATTTTTCGGCTGGGGATGAGTGAGCTAGAAGAGAAAAAAAAAGGAAAAACAAGAAAGAGCTGAGGTTTGAGGGTCCAAAAACAAAGAATGCATAATCTACCATTTTGAAGCAAGGGAGGGTTGGCTGAGATAACACAGTACTGATGGGAAACAAAAACATCGGATGAACTCGTCCGATGTTGAACGCTGAGAGCAATGCTGGTGTTGTATCTGCCATGCCAATCATATGTTGAATGTTCCATTGGCTTCGATTACAAGGTGAGGTTGCTTTACATTAGTCTTGGGAGGTAGTCATACGTTCGTATCGAGTGGACATTGTGAGGCTGGTGTTTTTGCCAGCTCATATGGGGTCCATTTTCGATGGGATTGGACATGAAGGGTTATAGTGTATACGAATGTTCCACCTATGGGCTGAGGTTTTTGTCAGACTGTGGAAGAGAAAAGAAGTTTGATGGTTTGTGATATGATCCCCAAGAACTTGTCCAGCTCCGGCTGTCTGTGATGAGAAAGTCATGAGATGCCATGCCTGGGGGGCTCGGTGGCTTGTCCTGAAATGTCTCGGCAGGGGTTGTCCGGCGGTCCGCTTTGGCTAGACGCTTGTGCATGTGGTGCTGCTGCTGTTCGGACCAATGACTTCACATGCGTCTGTCAGTGTCCCTGACAACTTTGACCTGACCTAAGAGCCAGCGCTAAGGGTCTGGGGATTTTGTCTGTTCTCGATGAAGATGGGACGTTTGAAGGGCTCTGTGAGTTTCTCAAGATAGAAGATGCAGCCAACATGAGCAGCAGAGCATTCAGCTGTGGTTACACAGACAACAAAACAGACTGACACGAAAAAGATCATTTCCCATCTTTTAAGTAACCCATTACGCGATTTCCCGCCCGCTGATTGGTGCCCAGAAAAGCAGCAGATCGACTACGGACCACGGACCAGTTCGATGTGGGCTTGTCTTGGCGAAACCCGCAATTTCACCTCGGGAGATTATCTGTCCAAGCTGTTTTTCCTGCCCCCTCCAAAACGAATCCATGTCAAGTGACTGACTGGCAAACCTGGGGCCTGTGTGAGTGAGTTTGCGTAACGTGGGACAGTCCAAAAATCATGGTTGTGAGATGTCGGGGCAAAAGACAGAGAAGAGAGCGTGGCTGTTGCGTGGGAGTGAGTGACAAGAGCCCCATCTCGGATCTTAAAAATGGCACGGAAAATCATAGAATCAACAACCACCACCACATCTTTCATGCCTCCCCCTTGGAAGAGGGAGCCCTTGCCGCCTGTCGGGTTCCCCGCCGTGTGTGTGTGTGTGCCGCGCCGCGCCAATCGAAGATTGGATGGAGCGGGAAGGGAATGGGAAACGCTTGAGAGAGAAAGAGAGGACTGGAGGGATGACCCCCCCCTCGTGTTTGAAAAAGAGTGGACTGGGGGAGAAGGGTTACCGTCGTCACGGTCAAAGGGTACCTTGGTACCTACAGCTATTCACGCATTGGCAGACCAAGCAAACGCCCATCACCGCCCGAGGGTTGCATGTCCTAGCCTCTCCCTCTTTGTTTTTTTTGTGGGTATCATGGTAATGGCATGGGGATGCGAGACCACACCAAAAGGTGTTGGCTGGCTGAGAGCGAAGAAGCGAAGGCGCAAGCCGCAATAACGTAGCTGGCTATTTAGTACTCCCCCCCCCCCCTTGGCTCTCATTCTTTCGTCTTCCCTCTCCTCATCTCTTCATCATCATCATCATCAGTCTTGTACTGCCTGTCTGCTGTGTGTTGGATCTCTCTTCCTAATAATACTGTCGCTACCAACTTGACACATTCTTTAAAGTAAACAAACCCTCACTTTATTGTCTTAATATCAACATCAACACCACAGCCAAAATGCGCGTCACATCCCTCATCCTCACCGGCGCCCTCGCCGCCCTCGCCAGCGCCCAGGGCACCTCCACCACCGTCTCGGTCAACACCTCCATCGACCCAGCCACCGCCGCCCAAAACTCCCAGCAGGCCGAGATCCTCCGCTGCATCAACGCCTGCACCCCCGGCGACGTCAACTGCACGGCCAAGTGCAACCCAGTGCCCAACCCCGGCGAGCAAGATGTACGTCGTCATATCTCCCTCCTAAGAGACCCCCCTTTTGTGGTTGTCCCACATATATAACCACAAACTTTATTATCCCAAGCCACAACCAACCAAACCTTGATGACTAACACCTGCGTGCCCTCTAGGTCGAAGCCACAAACAAGTGCGTCTCCGAATGCCCCAAGGGCAACGGCACCGAAGCCGACAACCTCGCCTACGGCCAGTGCTACAACGCCTGCGTCGCCACCCACTACTACACCGCCACTCCCGGTGTTGCTCCCAAGCCCACTGGTGGCTCTAGCTCTGGCAATGGCAACAGCAACAACTCTGGTAACAACAGCAATAACAACTCTGACAACAACAACAACAACAACGACGACGATGACAACAATGATGATGGCGAGGAAGGCGGGAACGGCACTACCAACAACCAGGGGGGCAACCCCACTACTACTGGCGCCCCGGCTAGCGTGACCAGCAACGCTGCCGTTCCCGGTGCTGTTGTCGGCTCCGGGATGGGGTTGTTGGCTTTTTTGGGTGCTGTTATGGCTTTGTAAATGGGGGTTGATGGAAAAGGGGAAGGGGAGCGGGGGTTTCGATTCTTTGTGCGTAGTTTTGGGGAAATATCAATTACTTGTGGCTGGGGGTAAGAAAGGAGGCCTAAAAGGGTCGGAAGGGGGGAAATGGCATAATGTATGATTTGGATATTCTGGGTTTGGAGTTAGTTGTGGCGGTGTAATGGAAGGGTTTAATGGAAAAAAGAATTGCTAAAATTTGAATGATGATGCTTGTGGTTGCTTGACGTGAGATGCTGTGTCACTGGGTATTATTTGGACATTATTGAAGTGGCTGTCTGTCATATCTCTAATCCTTTCTTGTTGGGATGGTCGGCTCGATGTCTGTGATCCAGGGCAGACCGAGCTGCTTCATCTCGACGGCTAGTTGGAAGAGGTAGTCCAAGCTGGCGAGGATCATGTCAGTGTCTATTTTCCAGAAAGCAAGAGTGGCAATTTCAACAAGCATACCTCTCACACTGTGTCTTTGCTTTGTGGACATTATCCCCCCAAACATAAACACCATGCCTCCTTACCAACACAGCATACGTATCCGGGTACTTGTCCATTGCCTCCTCCAAAAACTCCGTCAGGTCCTCCTCATGCGCCGTGTTCTCAATCACGGGAATCACAAGCGTATCATGGTACCCAAGGTTCCCGCTCTTCTGGAAGCCCTTGCCGAACCCCTTGATCTGCTCAATGTTGTTGATGCGGAACTCCTTGCTTCCTTGCTGTTCGAGGATCAACGTCACGAGGACGGCCCAGTGGGAGTGGGTGTGGATGCAGCAGCCGGCATTGCGCTTGGTGAAGGCGGCGAGGAAGAGGGGGGTGCACTGGCTGGGCTTGTAAACCGGTGGGCTGCGGAGGTAGACTCGCTGGCGGCGGGAGAGGGATTGCGCCTGGGCGGCGAGAGAGAGGACGTAGATGTCGGAGGGCTTCATGAGCTCCTTTTGAACACCCGAAGGGGCGAGGTAGACTAGGTCGCTACATCGCGCTTGTTAGTTGGTGTTGGACTTATCAATGGCTGCGCTGGTGGTGGGTGATAGTGGTGATATGCGGGGTTATCGATAAGGAGAGAAATATTTTAGTACTCATCGCGAATAGAGGCACCACCGCCGGTGCCGGTCACCCAACCGAGAGTCCAGAACTTTGCGCAAAGCGAGGGGATCAAGTTCGCCGGGTGCTCGGGGTCATCAGACTGTACGAGATGGTCGTTGTCGTCGGTGGTGTTCTCGGCCGGCAGGCCGGTGGTTGGCGGGGTCATATTCGCTGCTAGTGGGCGGGATGACGGCGATGGATGGAGGCTGCGGGGTCGGATTGGCTGGCCGAGTCGGACCAGGGGTGTCTCCAAAAGGCCAAGGTGGTCGTTTGAAGGGTTTGGGAGAGACACAGAGGGCTGTCTATCTTTACCGGCAAATCTTGAGCAAGTCGGCAGTATCAAAAACGAAAATGAGGCTATTTGGGGCTAAATTGCGACAAGGAAGGCCGCTGCGGTTCGGAGTGGCTCCGAACGAAACACCACCCAACCTTACCCACCACTCACTGGTCTGCCGAGCGAACGAACGGGCGGACACTCGGCGGGACAGGCCATGCGGCGACTTTAGCAGCTCCCGGCATTGCTACTCAGGTCCACCCAGAGAGTGATATCGGACATGTGCACTTGTGATATTTCACTGGAAAAGACTTTGAGATTCTCGAGTATGACCAAGTTACTTGTCTCCACGTGGTTTCAGTGAGAGAACTTGGGTAATAGAGAAAGGAACAGCTGGTGTAGCGTTAGATAAAGCTTGATATACACTTTAGAGATAAGCCATACCAAACAGTGGATAAAGTCCAGAAAATGCAGTCAATAACTTGACCGGGGACCCTCGAGAGACCACATACCTCCAATTGCATATTTATGCCTCTTGAGGACCGGAAGACAGCTTGGAACTGGTTGTTCAATGCCGCCTGCTCAGTCAGCAAAAGGCGGAAACCCAGACCACGGAGCCGAGATATGTGGCCATCGAAGTTTCACCTTGAATCGACCGGACTGCCTTGTCTGGTCAAGTTAGGCGTACTACCATAATTACCATTCGGGAAACGGTACCGCTTCCTCTGGGCGGCGTGGTTTCGAATATTGAAGCAGAAGAATGTGAAAGGCTGAGAGTGGAGGACCTGTCAGCTCCAATGCCCCACATTGAGAAACGGTGTCTCCAACAGCCCCAAAGAACAGCAATTGAGAGCCATTCACATGGCAACGAGAAACAAAGAGCTCTGGAACATGAAAAATAAACAAAAATATTCAATTTGACACTATTCACTGCCTATCGCAAGAGCATAATGATCAGATGGGAGCATGTTCAGGAGCAGTTCTCGTGGAAATCTGGCCAATCGAATATTCCAAGATCTTCCACCATGCAGCGCTAGGGCCACCCCCACCCGGCTAAGCCAGCCTTCTGTCCCCGCAAGTTGGTGTGCCCGTATTGCAGGCGCCCCAAGCTCTAAGCTCAGGTGTTAGCTCTGTTAAAGACACGTTGTCGAATTTCATCCGCCGAAGCTTCAAATTCACAACGTTGGCTTTCCACAACCCATCGACAAGCTTCTTCTTTTTCCCCTGAGCTCTGGGAGTGACATCCATTGCCCGAAACCAACCATCGTGTCCATCTCCGCCGTTGAGGATATCTTTCGTTGTCTTTATCTCTACCCATAGCTGCTTGGAACAGCAGTCTACCTTCACAATGAAGTTCAACGTTGCTGCCGCTGCTGCCAGCGCAGCCATCCTGGCCGGTGGTGTCTACGCCGACGACCAGAAGGTGCTCAAGGAGGAAAGCTCCAGCACTGCCGCCGAGGCCTCGACCAAGTCGGTCCCCCCTCTGCCAACCTTTACTGTAAGTTTTTTTGCCCTGTTCCAATCGTCATGGTCTGCCCCGCACTGGCCTGGCCATGGCATCAATCACATCGACTGTTTGCTGACAACCGACTTCCACAGCCTACCAAGCTCAAGGCCCCATTCCTCGAGCAGTTCACCGACGACTGGGAGCAAAGGTGGAAGCCTTCCCACGCCAAGAAGGATACCAAGGGCTCTGAGGAAGAATGGGCCTACATCGGCGAGTGGTCCGTCGAGGAGCCCACTGTCTACAAGGGCATGGAGGGTGACAAGGGTCTTGTTGTCAAGAACGCTGCTGCCCACCACGCCATCTCGGCGAAATTCCCCAAGAAGATCGACCCCAAGGGCAAGACCCTCGTCGTTCAGTATGAGGTCAAGCTTCAAGGTGCGTTTTACTACTCCAACCTGCACCGAATCGCTCAACCTTGCTAACGTCCTGCTACAGACGGCCTCGAATGCGGCGGTGCTTATATGAAGCTCCTCCGGGATAACAAGGCTCTCCACCAGGATGAGTTCTCCAACGCGACCCCATACGTGATCATGTTCGGTCCCGACAAGTGCGGCCACACCAACAAGGTGCACTTCATTTTCAACCACAAGAACCCCAAGACTGGGGAGTACGAGGAGAAGCATCTCTCTTCCGCGCCCTCGGCCAAGATTGTCAAGACTACTGAGCTCTACACCCTCACAGTCCACCCCAACAACACCTACTCCATTGGCATCAACGGCGAGCAGGTCAAGGAGGGCAGCCTCCTCGAGGACTTTACTCCTTCGGTCAACCCTCCCAAGGAGATTGACGACCCCAAGGACAAGAAGCCCGAGGACTGGGTTGATGAGGCCCGTATTCAGGACCCCGATGCCAAGAAGCCCGATGACTGGGATGAGGATGCCCCGTACGAGATTGTCGATGAGGATGCCACTCAGCCTGCTGACTGGCTCGTCGATGAGCCCCTCACCATCCCCGACCCCGAGGCCCAGAAGCCCGAGGATTGGGATGATGAGGAGGATGGTGACTGGATCGCCCCCACTGTCCCCAACCCCAAGTGCGCTGATGTTTCTGGCTGTGGCCCCTGGACCAAGCCCATGATTAAGAACCCCGACTACAAGGGCAAGTGGTCTGCTCCTTACATTGACAACCCTGCCTACAAGGGCGTCTGGGCTCCCCGCAAGATCAAGAACCCCGACTACTTCGAGGACAAGAACCCCGCCAACTTTGAGCCCATTGGTGCCATCGGCTACGAGATCTGGACCATGCAGAAGGATATCCTTTTCGACAACATCTACATTGGTCACTCCGTTGAGGATGCCCGCAAGCTCGCCGAGGAGACTTTCTTCAAGAAGCACCCCGTTGAGGAGGCCCTTGAGGAGGCCGAGAGACCCAAGGAGGAGGACAAGCCCGCTTCTCCCAACGACCTCAAGTTCTTGGATGACCCCAAGACCTACATCACTGAGAAGCTTGACTTGTTCTTGACCATCGCCCAGCGCGACCCCATTGAGGCCATCAAGTTCGTTCCCGAGATTGCTGGCGGCATTGCCGCTGTCCTCCTCACCGTCCTCGGCCTCATCTTCGGCATTGTCGGCGTTGCTACCAACCCCGCCCCTGTCAAGAAGGCTGCCGCTGAGGTCAAGGAGAAGGCCAAGGAGGCCAAGGACAAGGTCGCTGAGGCTGCCGCCACTGGCGCCGAGACGGCCAAGGCTGAGGTCACCAAGCGCACCAACACGCGGAAGGCGTAAGGCTGGAGTAAATGAAGAGGGGATTTTGAGAGAGGAGGATTTATACCCAGATACCACGAGGTAGTCTCGGATACCGTTAATATCAAAGGGACAGGAACCGGCAGTCATGCAGAACGTGACGTGATCCGGATGTTATCAGGAAAATGGGCGACTTGACTTGATTGCAAGAGCACACGATTTTTCGTTCTTCTGTTTTTCTTGATTTGGGCAGGTGTATCCAGGCGTAAATGTATTTTATAGGCATGCGTGAGAAAATACAACGGCGTTAGTTACTGATGGTCATAGTTTGGTGCGAGTGTTCATGCTATCGCGCTATCACGCTATCTAACGAGTATCTGATCAAGTGGACAGAAGTGGACAACGAGCTCCTCCAGCCTTGCCTTGACTTGGAAGCTCACTGTGTTTTGATACCCCAGATTTCGTCTTGGCAGGACCCATGAGAGCTTCGTCCCCAGTCTAAACCTGTTGACAGGTTGCTTGTGCAGCATCCGATTGGAGTTCGGCAGGCCGCGGCTTACTGGAGCTGCGGAGAAGGGAGGCAAGAGGCCATGGCATGGCGGGGAAGCTCACCCGCTCAGTTCCCCTCCTCACGTCCGGTCTTTAAAGCGGCATTCCCCCCTGCGGTGTCGCTGGGGGGACGGATAAAGGGGGCCCCGTCTTTCAAGACATCTGCAGTTTTGGACAGCCAGTCGAGCAGGGGCGAATTCGCAAAGCTGCAGCAAACCATTCGGGGGTTAATATAGAAGCCGGCCTACCTAGTTCGACAAGCTATTGACCGCTGTCACATCCAACCCGTGTCCTATCCTATACCGCCCATCGGGCCAACCATTTTGGACTTCTCCCTTTCAACATGCGTCGTTTCGCATCCCGAGCTGCTGTGGCTTCCTCCCATTTCTCGTCCTCGCAACGATCAGCCAGCGCTCTGTTGGGTTCTTCGTCTCCAGCACTCAGAATGGCTCCCTCGAAGAACAGCACCCACTCAGCCTCGGCCGCCGCCGTGAGGAGGATACACGCCACCGCTCAGCACCTTCGTCCCGCCGGAACCGCCTCGGCCTACGGCCTGGCCAGCACGGCGACCAACTTCCCCACCACGCACGAGAAGCTCCAGACGGCGTACGACACCCCCTGGTTCGTCAACAACGAGTTCGTCAAGTCGGCCACCTCGCAGTACATTGACCTGCACGACCCGGCCACGAACGAGTTGATTACCCGGGTCCCGCAGAACACGGACGAGGAGCTAAAGGCTGCGGTGGCGGCAGCGGAGAAGGCGTTCAAGAGCTGGAGCGCGACGAGCGTGCTGCACAGGCAGCAGATCATGTTCAAGTTTGTGGGGTTGATTAGGGAGAATTGGGATAGGTTGGCGGCGAGCATTACGCTGGAGCAGGGGAAGACGTTTGCGGATTCGAAGGGGGATGTGCTGAGGGGGTTGCAGGTTGCTGAGGCGGCTTGCGGGGCGCCGGAGTTGTTGAAGGGTGAGGTTTTGGAGGTTGCGAAGGATATGGAGACTAGGACTTATAGGGAGCCGTTGGGGGTTGTGGCTGCCATTTGCCCTTTTAGTGAGTTGTTCCTGTTCAAGAGGGAAAAGGGAAAGGTTGGCTAATCGTGTGTGTGTGATGTAGACTTCCCGGCTATGATTCCGCTTTGGTGTATCCCCGTGGCGACCATCACGGGCAACACGCTCATCCTCAAGCCCTCAGAGCGCGACCCCGGCGCGGCCATGATCCTCGCCGAGCTCACCAAGAAGGCGGGCTTCCCCGAGGGCGTGGTGAACATTGTCCACGGCGCCCACCGCACAGTCAACTTCATCCTCGACGAGCCCGCCATCAAGGCTGTCAGCTTCGTCGGCGGCAACAAGGCGGGCGAGTACATCTTCTCGCGCGGCTCCGCCAACGGCAAGCGTGTCCAGGCCAACCTCGGGGCCAAGAACCACGCTGCTGTCCTCCCAGACTGCAACAAGAACCAGTTCCTCAACGCGGTGGTCGGTGCTGCCTTTGGCGCCGCGGGTCAGCGCTGCATGGCCTTGTCGACTCTTGTCATGGTGGGCGAGACGAAAGAGTGGCTTCCCGAGCTTGCCGAGCGAGCAAAGGCTCTGCAGGTGAATGGTGGGTTTGAAGAGAGCGCTGATTTGGGGCCTGTCATCTCCCCTCAGAGCAAGGAGCGTATCGAGGGGTTGATCGCCTCGGCCGAGGAAGAGGGTGCCACTATCCTTCTTGATGGGAGGGGCTTCAAACCACCCAAGTACCCCAACGGCAACTGGGTCGCTCCTACCATCATCTCCAACGTCACCAAGGACATGAAGTGCTACAAGGAGGAGATCTTTGGCCCTGTCCTCGTTTGCCTCAACGTTGACACGTTGGACGAAGCAATCGATCTGATCAATGAGAACGAGTACGGCAACGGTGTTGCCATCTTTACGAGGAGCGGTCCCACGGCCGAGACGTTCAGACGCAAGATTGAGGCTGGACAGGTCGGGATCAACGTCCCTATTCCTGTGCCCCTTCCCATGTTCAGCTTCACGGGCAACAAGAAGAGCATTGCGGGCGGCGGCGCGAGCACGTTCTACGGGAAGCCGGGGATCAACTTTTACACGCAGCTCAAGACGGTGACGGCCATGTGGAGCGCCGAGGATGCGATTAGCAAGAAGGCGGATGTGGCCATGCCTACTCATTCTTAGGCTTGTTCTTGGGGGCGATGGGAAAATGTGGTTTTGCATGTCATTGGTTTATACAAAGTTGAAATGTTTTAGCAGGCAAAAGAGGAAATATGTAGAATGATTGATGGATGATTTATACAATTGTTATAAAGACATGAAATATTATTGAGCCAATCCCTTCATGCTCTGTGTGTGTGTGTGTGAACTCAAATATTTGGATATGAGAGAGATGTCGGATGTGTGTTGTCAACTTTTGTATTTCACTACACCTGGTAGTCTCTCAGTATTAAAAATATCTCCCTCTCAACCCCTCAAACAGAGTAAACACTACGCCATGCCCTATGTATGCTATTTTATACAACTCCCCATTTCAACCATGTTTATACAACCCGCGCCAATTTTTCCCCCCAACTGAAAACCCAGCAGCCAGCCACCAACTCCGCAAGCCAAACCCGGTTTAATAAACTCCAGAACCAGCCAGAACCATATATAAAATAACCGTTTCTTCTTCCTCTCATCGACCACCTACTCCAACCCCTCCCCCGACAACACCCTCCTCAAAATCCCCTGCCCCCTCCCCTCCCCCTCCACAACCCCCTCCATCTCCCTAAACCCAACACAGCTCGCCACCCTCCTCTCATCAGCCACCAATCCAACCTTCATATCCCCCATCCCAAAAACATCCTTCTTCTTCCCCCTCCTGCTCGGCGTCCTCGCCAAACCCCCCGGCGTCCCGCTCCCACCAAAAGACCCCATCTTCCCATCCACCTCGGCAATCAAACTCACCATCTCCAAGCTCGCCACCACCTCCCTAAACTCGGAAGAGCTCAACGGATGCAACACCGAGTCCGTCTTGCAAAGCTTCGTATAACTTTCAAACAGCGCCTTCACCGTCGGCGCCGCAGGCAAATTCTTACTCGGCGTACCACCACCAACTTGAGAAGAAACCCTCTCCCGATTCCGCTTCTCAATCGCCAGCAGCGAGCACAGCGCCGCCTTTTGCTGAAGATTCAACACCTTCAACCGTTGCATAGTCCCGTTGCTGAAAGCCGCAGCAGTAACCTTGTTCAAGTGCCCAATTGACACCCTCGGCGCCGTCTCCACCGTCAGCACCTGCAACGCCTTGATAAGCTGCCCAGACACGCTGCTCTGCTGCCCCGGCTTGGGAAGAGAAAAATTGTGCTTCTCCCCCAGGACCTTTCTTGACGGCGACATTTGCAGCATGTTTTCCTTGATTTCATTCTCGTGCTTTAACCTGGTTTCAGATTCGACAAGATCGATAGCTCGCCGGCAGACCTCAAAAGCACGGCGGAGATCACCGGTTTGGGTCGAGACTTTTCGGGAGCAGAGCTCAATGGCGGCCGGGTGGAAGAAGGGGATAAAGTTCTGGTCTGGGTGGTTTGCTGGCAAGAGGGATTTTAACCGGGTGGTGATGATGTTTTTGACTTGGGGGGCTGTGTATGGCAAGAACGGGAGGATTTCTGGCTTGAGGTTCCGGGATTTGAGGCGGGGGAGGAAGCGATCTGTTAGGTCGAGGGCGTTGGCAATTCCGACCATGAGGAGTCGGCTGCCGGTGGGCTGGAGAGACCATTCGAATACACGATACAAAGACTCGGGGTCGAGGGTGAGGATGTGGTCGATTTCGTCAAGGACAATCAGATACACCTTGTTCGAGGCCGACTTCTTTTTGGGGATGAAGAGTTTCTGCAGGGCTTCGACCACGTCGGTTTCGGAGAGGTCGGTCTCCTGGTCTTCGGGGGTAACGAGCTGGTCGAGGAGGGTATGGTACAGGTCCTTGGAGGACTTGGCTGACATGCAGTTGATGTAGGCTTTTTTGATGGAAGAGTCAGCAGACTCGGAGACGGTCTCGTCGGTGATGCGGTTGACCATGGCGGATTTGCCTGTGCCGGGGGGCCCGCTGACGTAGAGGCAGCCGCTTGGTTTGGAGGTGGTGCACCGGCTGAGGAATCCCTTCATCTTCGCCCTTTCGTCGTCGCGTCCGATGAGCTGCCCTGGGTCCGCGCTGCGGGAGAAGAGCTGACGCGCTTGGTGGTAGACTGTTTGAACGGAGGACGGGGTGAGGGGTGTCGAGGGTGTCATGCGCTTGGAGAACTTTCCAACCGACATGACCCGGTGCCGGGGAGTGGTTGTGACGCCCTTGGAGAAGACATCGTAGTGACGCGGTGTTGAAGGCGTGACGGGAGGGATGGCGGAGCTCTTGACTGTGCTGGCCACCGAGGCTCGTCTGGCGAGTGATTTTGAGGGCGTCTTTTGCACATCTTTGAAGGTCTTTTCTTTCCAGGTTGTCTTCTTTTCTTGTGTCTCGCCAGTCTCATCGCTCGCATCTTCGTCTTCCGCTATTACAATGTCGTTCTCCTTTTCGGCTTCTGGCTCATCCGCAATGGTGGCGCTTCGAAGGGTTCGTCGAGTGCGCTTGGCAGGAAGGTCAAAGGTGATTGCCGACTCTGTAGATCAAAAGAACTGTCAGTTGTCACTGCCTCTTTGACCTTGAAATACGTGAGTAACAAACCTGAGTTCTCCTTTGAACTCCGGGTTCTCTTTCCAAGAGTGGGTGATACCATCTTGCCGGCTTGTTTACTTTTGGCAAGCGCTAGTGACGAAGTACACAAGTTGACGATGGCCGAGATCCCGCGGAGGAAGGAGTTGTTGGCGATGGCAACGGTGGAGAGACAAGGTGAAAATAGTTGTTAGGCAGGAGGGCCCTGGCATTGTGAAATGGAGCTCTTGTCTCTTTCGGGATCTGTCGCGCCTTCCAATTCCACGGTAATTCCACCCCCCCTGTGAAACGCGACAATGCGCGTCTTGGGGTGGGGCCTTTGTCGCGCGCTTCAGCGCGTTTCAATTAAATTTTGGTGGCTGGAGCTCCACCTGCAACACGAACCTCAACCGAGGCGTTGCAGCTTCTGTGGCTGATAAAGTGTGGCTTGTGGTTCGTGGGGGTTTCTCCAACTGCTCCCCGCTTCCCCGCATGCGACAATGACAAAACGACGTCAAGTGGAAGGGGGCGAACTCCGTACCCAGGCGCTGCCGGCCGGGAGCCGATGACATCCGCTTCTTATCGGGGACTTGGGGCTCGGCCGGGTTCGTTGTTTGCCTCTTCAAATGTCTTGTTGCTATTGCTGTTTCTCTTCTTGTTGCAGCTCACTTCCTAGATGCTGCGACTTTTGCGACTTGTTGGCAAGGTTGAAGGACAGGCCAGGTTAGAGAAAGTACTTGGATTTTGGAGACCTGGGTTGGCTGAATCAGTTGGGCGGCGATGGACAAGTCCAACAATGCGATGACAAGCGGCTACAATGCCAAAGTGGAGGCCTTTCGAGATGAGGAGTACCCTATGCTCAAAGGTATTGCTCCTAGCTATCTAGCAACTTGACAGGCAGATTTGGCTAATGAATGTCAGGGTCCGTTTATCTTGATCATGCTGGGACGACGCCATACCCCAAATCATTGATGGACTCGTTCGTCCGAGATATGACATCGAACCTTTATGGCAATCCCCACTCTGGATCCAGTTCATCCCAGCTTTCAACATCGAGGATTGAAGATGTTCGGCTCCGAGTGCTCCAGTTCTTCAATGCTGACCCTGCCGACTTTGATGTGGTGTTCGTGGCCAATGCGACAGCTGGAATCAAGCTTGTTGTAGATGCCCTGAGAGCTGCTCCTGATGGGTTCAACTATGCGTATCATCAGGCGAGTCACACCAGTCTAGTCGGTGTCCGGGAAGAGGCTCGAAATAGCCTCTGTCTGGACGACAGACAGGTTGAAGAATGGGCAACGGGTCAAACCCCATTTGAAGGCCATGAGGACAGACCGACTCTATTTGCATACCCTGCGCAATCTAATATGGATGGCAGTCGGTTGCCTCTGCGGTGGTCAGACACGATCCGCTGCAACACAGATGTATCGAGGAATAGGACATACACTTTACTGGATGCGGCAGCATATGTGTGTTCCTCACCGCTCGACCTCAGTTCTGTCGAGCGAGCCCCTGACTTCATAGTCTTGAGCTTCTACAAGATATTCGGCTTCCCGGATCTAGGTGCTCTGCTTGTAAGACGCCAAGCGGAAGAAGTCTTCAATACGATGAAGTATTTCGGAGGCGGCACTGTCGATATGGTTGTTGTTTGCGTGAAGGAGCAGTGGCACGCCCCTAAGAACCAGTTCTTACATGAGCGTCTGGAACATGGAACATTACCTATTCACAACATCATCGCGCTCGACGCTGCTATGGACGTTCAAAAACAATTGTTCGGTACGATGAAGGAGGTATCACAACATACGGCGTTTTTACATCAAAGACTGGACCGCGGTCTTCGGTCAATACGACATGGGAACGGCGGGCCGGTCTGCACCATCTATTCACCAGAACCTAACCCACAAGCGGGTAGTGGTCCTGTGGTCGCCTTCAATATCCGAAACAACCAAAATGCATGGGTGAGCCTGGCCGAAGTCGAGAAGCTGGCTACCCTAAAGGGCTTCCATATCCGCACAGGTGGTGTGTGCAACCCTGGAGGTATCGCTTCAGCTCTTGGTCTCGAGCCTTGGGAGATGAGGCAAAACTTTAGCTCTGGCTTTCGGTGCGGAACCGACAATGACATTATGGCCGGAAAACCGACTGGCGTCATTCGAGCGAGCCTTGGAGCCATGAGTACTATCTCAGATGTCGATGCATTCGTGGACTTTATTACAGAGTTCTACCAGGATTTGACTCTGCCACCACCTCTTACATCACACACAACCCAGCAATCAAGTCGGGCCGATCTTTGCGTTCACAGTATAAGTATATACCCTATCAAAAGCTGCGGTCATTTCCAGGTTCCTCCAGGAGTTGATTGGGAGGTCCGACCAGAAGGCCTTGCTTGGGATCGAGAATGGTGTCTGGTTCACCAAGGCACTGGTCAAGCTCTGAGCCAAAAGAGATACCCAAAGATGGCACTTGTACGGCCAACACTGGATTTCGATCGAGGCGAGCTAAGGGTCAGATATGCCGGACAACTTCCACTGCACCAGCCTAGAGAAATAAGCATACCACTCTCTAAGAACCCTTCCTTGTTCCGGCAACCAACGACACTAGGGTCGCGATCATCACGAGTTTGTGGCGAGGAAATCCTAGCGCAAACATACGTCTCGAACGAGGTCAATGATTTCTTCTCGGGTGCCCTCGGAGTGCCCTGCATGCTGGCCAGATTTCCCCCAGGAGGCCAAGGAAAAAGTATGCGGCATTCAAAAGCTCATCTTCAGAAGCATCAACTTCCATTGGCAACACCCTCTCATCAAACACCACGACTTCCTGGCTCGTTTCCCGGAGACCGTCCACCATCACCACCAGACTCGGACACGGAAAGAAGTGGCCAAGAACGACGCATATTATTGTCCAATGAAAGTCCCATACTGGCTATCACTCTTCCGAGTCTGGATGCCCTCAATGAGGAGATCAGGAGGACAGGTAACCACAAGGGGGAAATCTCTCCAGATGTTTTCCGAGCCAACGTTGTGATTGCCCCGGCCTCACAAGGCTCACAAGGTTCGATAGAGCCCTACGCCGAAGACTCGTGGTCACATCTGAAAATAGGAGATGGTGGTCACAGGTTTGAGATGTTGGGGTCTTGCAGGAGATGTCACATGGTATGCATCAACCAGGACACGGCGGAAAAGAGCCAGGAGCCGTTTGTGACATTGTCAAAGACGAGGAGGTTTGATGGCAAGGTCTTTTTTGGGGTGCACATGGCAGTGACGAGCCAATCGCAACTTCCCACTTTGAGGGTGGGGGATGTGGTTGTTCCTTCCTGGGCACTTGTGTAAATATCAATGTGGAAAGTACAAGTAATTTTTGGAAAGAATGATCTCCTTCATCCCATCTCCATCCTAAAGAACGTTTGCTGCGATTCAAGCCCAAAAGTCTGTGACCAAATACTAGACATTAGCGACGAATAATTCATGATCATATAGACAACCACGCCACATGGTAGATTGTGACTTTTTATTTTTTATTTTTTATTACATTTGTTGTCGGTGTTGGTCAGCCTCTCGGAGCAGTTGGTTGCTAGCGGCGGCAAGATGTACCTATATTGGGCACTGTTCTCAAAAACAAGTGGCTGTGTCAGCGACGATATAATTCGGGAACTCGAGCAAATGTCTCACAAACATTTTCGCCTCATTGATTTCTCTCATATTTCCCCCCCGAAACAATGAACACACTGTTCAATTGACTTTTTTGCGGTTTTTCTTCTTCTTTTTCTCACTCCCCCACCATTGACCCGACAGTCCGGCAAAGAGGGGGGGTACCATCCCGCTAGCCGCCCAACGTTCGTGCATATATACCACCATCCGAGCATCACCGGCGCCAAACCATGACCACCACCACCCTCAACCCCAACGACCCCCTCTACCACCTCCCCACCGCTCAAATTTTTCACCTCCGCACCCTTTTTTACACCCAGCTCTCCCTCGGAAAGATCAAACCCCTCGTCCTCCCCTCCGCCTTCTTCGGCACCCTCTTCCTCCCCTTGCTCTACCTCTCCATCCCACATAAATCCCGCCCCTGGCTATATTCCCTTAGGTGGGTGGTCGCCTTTTTGATCGTGTACATCGATTACACACTCCTACTCACCACCTCTGGTTCCAACGTCGCGATTGGTTATGCTGTTGGGTTGATTGCCTGTCATGGGACGGTGTGGGGGTTGACGCTGGTGTTGTTTACACGGCCGCAGTGGGATGCTGCGCGTGTTGTGAGAGATGGGGAAACGGGGGGGTATACATGGGAGTTTTACCCTGAGGAGGGGAGTTGGTGGAAGAGGGTGGGATGGGCGGGGGATTTGCAGTTGAATTTTAGGGGGGTGGGGTGGAATTATGCTGTTAGTACTATACCCTCCCCGCCGTTTCCGACAGCGGGAGGGGGCCAGGGACAAACGGTTGAGATGGGGAGGATGGAAAAGGTGACGAGGCAGGGGTATTGGGTTTGTGAGACGGGGAGGGAGTTTGTGAGGGATCGGTTGTGGCAGGTTGGGTGGAGTTGGGTGGTGATTGATGTGTGGACTACGTTTGGGAGGGCGGATCCGTATATTGTTTTGGGGCCCGAGTATGTGCACGCGTCGCATTGGAAAATCAACAGTTTGCCCTCGGCGCTGGAGGGGGTGCCGATGGGGGTGGTGAGCTTGGGGAGGAGCATCTTGGGGATTACGGGGGTGGCGGCGGGATTGTTTTATTTTCATTCGATTTATCAGTTGGTTAATTACTGTGTGCTTGGGAAGGGGGGGTTGGATTTGTTGGGGGTGCAGGGGGAGTTGTGGCAGTATCCGAGTCTGTTTGGGGGGTTTCACATGGTGAAGGAGAAAGGGCTGGCTGGGTTTTGGGGGGCGTGGTGGCATCAGAGTTTTAGGAGGGGGTTCGCGGCGGCGGGGGAGTGGGTTTTTGATGTGGTGACTACGGGGGAGACGGTGCCTGCTTTGAGGGTGAGGGATACCAACGGGGAGGTGAATGGAAAGGGGTATGACAATGATAAGGAGCGACGGGCTAAGAAGCCGACGAGGGCGAAGACGGTGGTTACGGTGTTGATTGCGTTTTTCTTGTCGGGGCTGATGCATGCCTGTGGCGGGTTGACGTCTATGAGTCCTACGACCAAGTTTTGGACGCCAATTATGTTTTTTGCCACTCAGGGCGTCGGGGTGCTGGTTCAGGGCTTTGTTTGTCAGTATTTTAGGGGGTTCATTGAGAGGAACTTTTCGACGAGGTGGAGGAGGGTAGGGAACTTGGTTGTTGTTGCTGTGTGGCTTCAGTTGACTGGTTGGGGGCTTGTTGATGATATGAGCAGGGCGGGGATCTGGTTGTTTGAGCCTGTGCCGTTCTCGCCGGTGAGATGGTTGGTAAAGATCTTGGGTTATGGAGATATGCTGGGAGGGAATAATGGAAATGTGTGGAGGTTGGACGAGGAGTATGGCTTGAGATGGTGGTGGGGACCTGAAGGCAGGTGGTGGGAGAGCGGGCTTAAACTTTGAGAAGGTGTGAGAGAGGATGATGCTGGTGTGTTAATGGTCGGGTGTCAAGGTGTAGCGGATAAAGGGCATATACATAAAACAGACTTGATGGGAAGTAGCTGGACTTGGTTCAAGGCATTTACAAACATATCTGGGTTAGCGATAGACCAGTACAGACATAGATTATCTATCGATTTCAATCTTCCTACATGTGCATTATAAACATGCTTTAAACGCACTTGCTAGCATTTCCAACAAACTTCCGATCTCAACCATCAGATCCCAACTCCCCTAACAATCTTGATTAAACCCGCAACACCAACCCCCTTCTTCCCCTTCGACAAGTTGACCGTCTCCTCCTGCAGCCAAACCACAACCTCTCTGTATCCCGTCTGCTTCCTAACAAGAACCTGTCTAAAAGCCACCATCACCAACCACGCCACCTCCCCCTTTGTAACCATACACTCATACCCCGGCCACCTCTCCTTTCTGCTTTTGCTCGTCAGCAGCAGAAACGCAACATCAATCAATGACCTGATAGTATCTATCCCCGTTTTGTGTCAGCAAACCCAACACTTTCGTGTCTACACCAAGATATAAACTACCTTTAACAACCCCCCCACCGGGCTGTCGTTTCTTCCCCATACACCTCCCATAAGCCCACATCTTCCTGGCGCAGACCCCAAAGGCGGCAAACGCGTTGGCCAGCACCTTGGGCCTCGAGTTGAGGCTGGTATCATAAAGGTGGATGCCGGACTGGAGCTTGAACGAGGCGAGGACCTTGCGGGAAAAGTTGCGGCCTGGGCGGCGGGTGTGTTCTACTGTTAAAGAGTTGAAGACTATAAATGCTTTGTTAGTATTTTTGTATCACGGTAATACAACAACAGAAGGACGGGGGTCAATACCGCTTTTAGGGTTACCTGTAAGAGCGGTGTTATCTTTGGAGATTTCGAGAGTTTTGGTGTTGATGAATAGGCCCGTGTAGGGGAATTGAGCTGGTCTGTTGTTGTTTTTGGATTGTAAGGTTGGGAGAGTGGTGCCGTTAATGGTGACGGGGAAATTAACGAGGGACTTTGAAGGGTTGACGGTTACGCCGTAGGCGGGGACGCCAGAGTGCATTGTTGTGATGAACTGGGTTGCTTTGGGGAGGGAGGTGGTGATGAGGAGGAAGTCGTCTATCAGCCGGAGGAGCAGGCTGTCGTTGGTGTTGTCATCGGAGAACAAAAAGGAGAGGTGGGTGCGCTCGAGGTCGGCGTAGAAGTAGTTGCAGAGGGCGGAGGAAATCACCGAGCCTTGAGGGATGCCGGATTTTTGGCGGTAGTGTTTCTTGCCTATGCGGATGAGGTTGTCTTTGATGTGGGACGTGGATAGAGACATCAGGTCCCGGGTGTTGTGGGTTTTCTGGGCGTTGGAGCGGTCGACGAAGATGGTGTCTTTTTTGGTCGGGGCGAGAGTGGTCTCGATGAGTTGGGAGAAGGGGAGGGGGTCTTTGTTTGGTTGGGCTACCGAAGGCCAGCGGCTGGCGGCTTTGGCAGTGCTGCCTTTGCCAAGGACCATTTCGAGGGGGCTGACTTCGGCGTGTTTCTTGATTTTGTAAAAGGCTTGCTTGGGGATCTGGCGGAGTAGTTTGATCATGGCGTCTTGGGGGATGGTATCGTAGGCGGCCGTGACGTCAACTTTGGCAAAGTAGAGCTTGTGGTTTCCTTGGCCAAGGGAGGTTTTGAATGCCTTGATGCGGGGGTAGATGTCGCTCACTGAGAAGAGGGAAGATCCGAGACGCTCGGCATTTCGTGTCTGTTGTTTCGTTAGCTTAAAGGTCCAATCTCAAGAAAGGTTTTCACACACCCTCTCAAGCTTGAGCACCGAATTCACCGGCCCCAAATTAGTATTGATACTGTAGCTCAACCCAGCTTTCCCCCCTGGCCGCAGAGTCCGACGTGACAAATTCATGAGAGGTCTCATGTTGGTTTCCTTGGGAACCAGCCGAAGGTGGGCAAGTCCAAGTTTGCGGGACCCCAAGATCCGTAAAGCATCTTCCAACCTGACCTCCTCAAACATCCTGGTCTTGAGCGCGGCCATGGCAGGCTCGGCAACATACCGCCAGACGTCATGCCGATAGAAAAACAGACAATACTTGTCAACACTGGAATCAGTGACATAGAAATTGCTTCGAATCAAGGGTATCAAGAATGAATCAAACAGGTAGTAGAGAAACTCGTAAAAGATTTCGGTTCGTTTCTGCATGTCTGACTGCGAGCATTTTTGGTTGGCTAGTCCAGGAGGTGCGAGCCAGTCGATATCTTGGAGCTGGAAAGCAGTTAGCATACCGCGTTCTAAGATGTGCAGAGAGATTATTTTACCTTCATTCCCTGCATGACCTCATGCAGACACATGCTCTCAAACCGCCGCAGATGAATGAACTCGTGGACCTTTTTGAGAAGGCAGGCCTTGTTGTGCTCTTGTGCGTCGCCCTGGCCCCAGAACTCATTGGGGATCACCTTGGCTAGTATAGCCTGGCAAAAGGCCGAGACAGACGATGTTGGAGTTGCCAACTCCGTGAGAGAGCTGTACTTCAAGTTCCAATCCGGGGCTGCATTCTGCCGAGTCTTCTTCTTGCCCCGAGAAGCTTCGCCAGCTGACCTTGATGATGAAACTAATGACCTTTCCATGGAAGTGGAACCCATCTTACGGCTTTCTGTCAAGCCAGGTACCTAAGAGTGTGAGCGTTGGTACTAGCTGAATTGGGACGGGACAGCCTACTGGGCAATAGTGCTTCATCATCTCGGCATATGCGCAACGGCCGTGCAATATCTGAAGTCGCTCGACAAGATGTTGGACCTGCCCTCTGAGTCTCTTGGGAACGTGCCTGATAGGCTTTCCGGGCGTATCCAACTTGGAAAACTTCTCGGCTATCTCCTCTTCACGAAGGGTGTAGTCCTGGAACCTCTGAGTTGTCTTCTGGCGGTCCACAACCGACGTAAATGGATTATGCAGCCCAAATTGACGGGGAAACATGTACACCAAGATATGCACCACATTCCCGTGGTTAGTATCCTCTTCGGTGGGGGTGGGTGCCTTATATGGAAACCTGTTCAACACATCTAGACAAAAAACTCAGGGGTTAGTTTTTGTCTTGGCAACTCCCAAATAGGGGTAAAAAGGGCCACTCACGGATGTGACGTAAGCCAAAGTGAACAGCGCCACGAGCATTGAGAGCAGCTCTGGCATAGAGCATACGGCTTCTGACAAAAGAGATCTCGGAGGGGCGCATGGGATTTTCTTTGTCGATGGGCTTTGCCTCCAAAGGGCTCAGTTCTGAAATGGGAATCCCACAAAGCTGTTGCATGTTGCCCTTGCCTGCTTTTACAGCCCGGAAAATGGCACAGTCGACAAGCAGGTCGATCATGATGCGCTCCCCTTCTTTGCCCAAGAGCATGAGAAGCTGTGGCCATGGCTTTTCCCTGAGGGCTTCTACTTGCTGATTGCGTTCTACTGCAAAGAGCCCGGGGATTGGCTTGCTTGGGGCGGCTGCCTCCTTCGGATGAGCATTCTCATTTACACTTCTCCGAAAGCCGTCGCATAACAAATGCTTCAACCGGACACCAGCCTCCTGCTGGGAGAAAAGAAGCCAGATAACAAAGTCTACAATCTTTGACAGACGGCCATGTAAGTTGGTGGACTATGCGAATCTCCACTACTCTCTATGACTTACATCGGATTGCGAGTACATGGACCTCCTCAGTCCATCTGACAAGGTCACATAGGATTCATCTCCTTTCCCCTTCTGCGAGAAGGCAATCCACTTCTCCCAGCGGTAGCTGTTCTTTCTCGCGGTGGCATCGTGGCGCCAGGCAACAACTGTTGTGTCCAGCAGCTCTCCCAAGATAGTCTCCTCTTCAGTTGAAGACTTCTGGACAGAAGAGCCAGAAAGCCCTACTGTTGCGATTTTCTTGCGCCGGATGCGTGAAGAGGTTGGCAGTTTCGACAGTGCGTACTGTCGTAATGTTTGTGTCTCAGAATAGTACTGACTCAACAGCGCATGCTTGACAACGGCATCGCGTGGTTCATGCCCGGTCCTCTGATGTTTTGCAGGGTGATCAGCAGAGCCGTTGCGAGTTAGTTCGCCGCTATTGTCTCGACTCCTCTTCCCTTTGGCCGGTCTTGACGCAAGAATAGTTGTCATGATTGGAAAGTGTCGAAGATGTCCTCCTAGTCCAGTTTCCTAGTCCAGGCATTTCTGAGGGAATTAGATGACGGCTTCTGAGAGCTCAGGACCAACCAGCAACGACCAAACATGTGCTGGTGGCTGATTGGGTCGTGGGGTCGCAGGATCCAGGACTCGGGATAATCCGTTGAAGGGAGTGGTGGGAGTGGTGGGAGTCGGGCTGTCGTGGTGTGGTGGGTGGGCGGGCCGGGGAAGTTGGCCGGGGATGAATGAGTGAAAACGGATGTGTGTCCGTTCGGTTGATTGGATATGGAGCGCGTGGGAAAGTCACGAAAAGTTGAAAAGCGACAATTAATACCGAGGCGGGCGAGCGGCACTGGTTCCTGGTGTTCAAGATGTTGTGTGACTGGCGGCGCGTCGGCGTGTGGCGGCGTGTGGCTCAAGCCTCAAACGGTCTGCGACAAGTCGTCTCTCCTGCTTTACCGGCAACCTGAAATATTTTTATTCTGAGCTGGATGTATTGGTTCCTTCTCACCTCATGGCCCTACGCCACACCTGCTCTAGGAGTTCAGGCTCCGGGTGTACAGTCTCGGCCACGAAGGGTCAAGAAGTCAGAGAGAGAGCTTAAGCTTGGCGGCCAGTCACAGCTGGTCAAGCTCAAGGGTCGGGCAGTCAAGGTTATCTCGGCGGCACAGCTGGTTGAACAGTGCGTCATTGGGCAGCCACACAGGGTTGACTTGTATTCATGCCTGTCCCTTCAGCATTTGCGATTCGTTGGATCTGTTGTTGGCTCGAATTCATCATCTTCATGGATGGAAACATCCCACCCCTGGTGCCCCGCTACGGGCAGGGGCCTTCTCTCACATGTCTGTTCGTCCACACAGTCAACTGCTATGAACTGAGGAGGATTCGGATGAGAGAAAACAAAACATCAGCAAAAAAGTTCGGATGCCATGCCAAGTTATGTATCTTCTACAGAATCGGCCGAAAACCCGCCGCAGACCCCCTGTTCAATCCCCACTGCACCGTTGAGACAGAACGGGCAATTACACGATCATGATGGATGGCCCCCGCTTTCTGGGCAGCAGCACAGCTAGCTACCTACACCATCAAACACTTTGAATCCCTTTCGATACTCACATGGGATAGAGCCCAGAAAAAGGTCGTATTCCTATCTTCTCGAATTGTTCGAGGAGTGGAGAGACGGTTGATGCCGGCCAACACAAGCCGCGCAGCCGCAGAAGGTCAGCACATCAGCCTGATCCCCAAACGGGCAGCTGGTAAGTAGTATTGGATACACCTAAGGTTGTAGAGGACATCTACAGGGGGTCCGGGTAGAAGAGAAACCTTACCGATAGCCTGGGTAATTCCAAGACTTTCTTGTCATCCACCAACGCCCCTCCAACTTCCCTCAAGCTGACATCGCGAGGCAGCTTGTCCCTGTTGATTATGTACCAACTGCAACACTGCAACACTGCAACACTGCAACACATTCTTCTCAAAACAGAAAAAAGAAAATAAAGTTTGCCAAAGTGCCCAGGATGGATGGGTATGACCAACTCGCATCAAGGAGAGCAGGAGAAAAAGGGCTCGCACTCGGACGATGGCACAGGATATGAGCATATATGTGTCGTCCCGTCTCTGTCGTCTCATTGATATTCCATAGGCCGCTGCCCGAAAGGCGCCGTAATTGCACAGAGGTTCTGAGGAACAAGTACGGATAGCGCACTGACTCTTGTAGCTGGCTAGCAGAGCGGCTAGGGTTCGGTGCAGTGAAGCGTTTGCCCCGTACTTTTTTGCTCTTATGGAGGTGGATCCCGGACCTGGTGTTGATGGAGGTGTTTCGTTCGCCCAGGGCTGTCCCCAGTCGCTTGTGCAGACAGCCAATCCTCGCGCTCGCCAGCACATCAACCTCGACGAGCCCCGACATCTTCTCTCTCTCTCTCTGCCGCCTCCCCACCCCCCCCCCCCCAGTCACTTACCAGTGTCCAGTTGCCCAGTTATGGACGATGGATCTCGATGATCATTGAATTCCGCACAGCCAGTCGCGGACGGAGCGTTTGCATGCACGCCGTCCACGACGTAACCTTACGGACCTCCACCACTGGCCAAACGACCTGAGAGTGATGGGAGCGAGACCATGGACGATGGCAGTCTTGGAGAGGAGGCGCCTGCTTCGCGCCCCGGCCAGCTCTTCGACCATCACCATCACCACCATAACCCCCAGCATCACCAGCAGCTTTTCGAATACCAACAACAGCACCACACCCAGCACCACCACTCCCACGACCCCTACGACCCTTATGAACACCACTTCCACCCCGGCGCCGATCTCGACCGAGACCTAGACCCCCGACCCGGCGGCCAAATACCCCCCCTCGCCTCGCATGCCGCAGCCTCGAACCTCCAGGCGTTTGCTGCCAATTCCTCTCTGGACGACTCGCTAGATCCCGACGACTTTTACCGTAGCTACCAAGGTGCGCAGCAGCCCAGGAATGAGTCCCCGCAAACCGTAGATCTCATGGCCCAGGCCTCGTCCAGCTCTCGACAGACGCTCTCTACGCGCTCCAACGGCAACGGAACGGCATCAAGGCCATCAGGGCTCCCCACGAACCGCAATGCTCTTCGACCGACTCAGCGTGCCGTGTCGAACCCCGTCGACGACCGTTCGTCCAAAGCAGCCAACAGTTTTCCCACGAGTGTGAAAGAGATGAAAAAGAAGTTTGACCAGACCGCCACACAGCCCGGGGCAGCGGCTCGAAAGCCACTGCCCAGGTCATCCAGCAGCACCAATGGAAGGGCCACTGGCACGGGGAGCAATTCGTCAACATATGGTTCCAGCAGAGGGACATCTAGTGTTCGGGGAACATCTGTCACTCGGGGAACACAACGACCGACCGATGATCAGCAGTCATTTGCGAGCAGGATCAGTCGACCTCGTACGGCAACGTCGTCACATCCACAGCCATCCAAGCAAAACAACCATGCCTCACCGAGGATTCCTGCAGTGCCCAAAGGACCGGAACCAGGCCTCTCCCGCCAGCCCGGCCTCTTGTTTGGCGAGATACTGCCTGAACACAACGACTCGGCCACAGTCGGCTTTGGGATCGAAAATGCCCGGCCACGGAGGACGTCCGAGTCTAGTATTCATCATTCAAGGTTACAGATGCGCAGTTTATCAGATCCAGACATCGAGCCTCCGTCACCCACCGACTGGTACCGCGGCGCCGCGCCAAGCGACCAGCAGGCCTCCGATCATCCAAGCGTCAACACGAGTATACCCAAAAACCATAACCGAGCTCAGAGCGACTTTGCTGGATCCAAGTTGGGAATGAGGCGTCAGTTTCCCAATGAATCCGCTGTGGCCTCACCGATATCACCGACCTCGCCGACCTCCCCAACCTCCCGTCTCCCTATCATGGTGAAGAAGATCAGTAACCAGAGTGACAGTCCCGCCTCAACTCGTTCGAACTCCCCTTCGCTCAAGTACGCAGCTGCCAGCGGGAGAACATCTCGGCAGCATGTACCATCCAGCCGGTCGAGGACGCCGACGACCAGTGCGACGGTTTCAACACCTCAGATCAAAACACCAACAGCTCGCAAGGGCCCACCCTCGAGCATAACCACGACAGGCAGCCGGCTGAATGCCCATGTTGCTGTCACTCCTCCGAAATTGTCACCCAGTCTTCGTAGCTCGCGGCCACGGCAATCTGTGGCGACGGCCACCACAGCAGCATCCAGAATGCGAGCCGTAGAACGGGAACGAGGTTCGTCACCCCAGAGACAACCTTTGAGGCCCACTCCAAAAGCAGAAGGATCAGGCACACGGAGGCGCAAACTCTCTGTCGGGCCCATTGACTTTGCACAGCGCCGTGAGACTATCAAACTTGCCTACAGCAAGTCCATCAGAGACAGCCAGGCCAAGGAAGCGAGACAGGCTGCTGCTGACAAGAGGAAAAGGGAGCTGGAGGTGGTGGCCAAGATCAAACTGGAAGCAGAAGCGGCCACGATGGCTGCCGTCGCCAATGCCAATGCCGCCGCTGCCGCTGCCGCCATAAGGCCGGCTCGATCGACTGACAACTTGAGGTTTGTGGAGATTGGTATCGAGAAAGAGGCACCATCGTCGCATTTGCAACCGCCGGTTGGAGACTCCCCAGCGCCACCAGTGCCTGCAACACCAGCTCCACCGGTCCCGTTGGAACCCCTGAGGTTGGAAATACCAGGCAGTTTCCCCAATGTTGGGTCATCTCATCTGGAACCAGAGGAAGAACCCATGTCTGCTTGCTCCGCTAGCACTGCAACGACCGAGTTCGAAATTGATGACCAGCCTGAGCCAGAAAGGCCAGAAAACACAGCTGCCATAGATGAAGCTTTGGGCATGACAATGCCTGGCCTCACGCAAGTCACCTTTGTGCCAGAAAGCTTTCAACATGAAACCTCTAGCCCGCCGGCCGAGCAGGCCGTGGTTCCAGTATTACACAAGAAGGCGTCTTATCAATCTCCATTTGATGAGGATGAGAAGGTCGATGACGACAGTGTATCCATAAAAATTTCGCTTGACACGTCCACGGAGCCCCAGATGTCTCCCCAGCTAACACCAACCCGCACTGACTTTCAGCCGGAGCCTACCTCCACTGCCGCACCGAGCCAGGACGAAGACGATGAGTACGTGCCCCGACCGTACACATTTACCTCGGACAACTACGAAACAACGGTCACGATTCTCGGCCCAGAAAATGATTTCCGGCCGTTGCACCACAACCCGCCTCGTGTTGCCATGCCGGCAGCAGATCTGCCACGACAGGATGAACGACAGACGGCCAGCAATGTGACGATTGAGGCATCGGAAACTTCGCATTTGGAGGATGTGGTGCGGTTTGAGGAGCCCAGAATTGTGCTGGACAAGCTGGATCGGCTGGAAGACTTTTATGTCGGACCGCGTTTGAGTGACAATGTGGCATCGTTGCGTGATTCAACATGTACATCGTCAGATTCTGGAACTCCTTTTGACACGCAGCCACCACTGGCAGAGTACGAAAAGACACCAAACACATTACACAGTTTGACTGTCCCCTCGCTGCTGGCACCTGGGAATCGTCTCAGTCAGAATTCTGCCTGGACCGACTTTTCCTTTGGAAGCGACGACCAGAATGCCGGCCTGCAAAGCACGCATTCTCAGCAGTCTCTTGGATACGAAAGCCAAAAATCTGGTTTGGAAGAGTTTCGATCTCACAGCCCGGACAAGTCACCGCTGGATAGGTCCGGTGCTGCTACTCCGCCCATGTTGGCCGAACGGCAGCGTAGCAGTTACCAACTCTCTGCCCATG